TAAAAACTCACTTTGTATGTTTTTAGAGAATAGACGATATTTTTGAGTTAGTTTTAAGTTCAGTTTTTTAAAATAGTCCTATCAAACAAGTTTTTAAGGACTAAAACTTAAAAATTGTTTTTAAATTTAAAAAGTTAGATTCAAGTAGAGTACCAAATAGACTCTTAGAGTTAGAACTTGTCTTTCCGGCTGGCATGGATTTTTTTGAGTAAGTGTACTGAACATCCTCGAACTTATTTCAATTTAACATGTTTTTGCAAAACCGATTTTAAGGATTCTTTTGGATAGTTCCGGCCAAACCAAAAGCTCACCTCACATTTCACAACCTCTAACTTCACTAAGCAATTTATGATTTGTGCATTAAGTTTGATGAATTACAATGTTTTGATCTAGACCTTCAATGACTGTTCAGTTTCTTGAGGTCCTCCAAGTACTTGCAATACCAGTTGGGTATTATTGTCGAAGAATAGGGATAAATCGATCCTTGTATGTGCTTTTAATCGTCCCCACGGCAGCACCAGTTTCTTGCTGGACATCTTCGATCAACAGTTTTTCCATTGGAAGCAAGCTTCACTATCATGTACAAAACCGCTGCCACAACAGATGTAGGGCTTCTTATGTCAAGCTTCGCCAAGTTCTTCAAAGTCTCTTCCACAGCCTTCCGATCCTGAATACTGTTCATGCCAAGATTTGAGCAGTATCGCCGCCATAGGTCCCCGGCGTCTGTAGCTTTGGAACCGAGCTCTAGCTCTTCTTTCAACACTTTTACCATCTTGGTAATTTCTTTCATTGAGGGTCCGTTGGCAGCCCCGGCGATTTCCTTTGGTGTTCGCGAACTATGGTTTTCTTGGCAAGCAAGGAACAGGCAAGCGGCCATCATAGCACCAAACTTTCTCCCCCTGCAGATCTTCTTGTCAACGGCCTTCTTGTATAACACTTTGGCATCATATAGTACGCCTTCGGGAAGGCCATGCTTGTCTAGGTGGTGAGCCATGGCTTCGAGGTATTCTGTAGCTTTTGCGAGAGACATTTTGGGGTTCGACGTCGCAGCGTTATTCAACCGGTTATTTGGAGGAACAATACCATGGGCGTTGTCCTTGTTCTTGTTTTGCTTCTTTTCTTTGGAAATACAAGTGGTAAGAACGCCATTATCCAGCAAAGGATCCAAGCAAGTACCGACGCGAGTCCGGTCTTCCTTGGGATCCTTATATCCGCAAACTTTGGCCACTCGGCGGTGACATCGATGCAGTAGGCTCCAACAATCAAACCACAGTGAGTGCAGATTGTGTCACCGGACTGGTGGTCGATCACAACTTGTGTGTATTTCTTGCAGTCTGAACAGAACTGTTCATCAGTTTCCATGATTTTCACGGAGAGAGAGAGGCAGTAGCTTTTCTCTTGCAGTAAGTAGGCTTTCTTGTTTTAGATGTTTGGGGTCTTTGATTATACGTTTTATGGTGGTGGGATGGGAAGCTAGTTCTCCTAGATTGGTAGGGATTTGTTTTGAGTCGAATCTTTCCTTGTACAAAACGGGGCAAATTAAGAAGAGTTGCTAATAAAACCTAGGAAAGCCCTAGCTTCCCGATATTTATAGGACCGCCGACTCCTATAAGTGACCGACTTGACCCCTTTCCCAAAACATCAAATTTCTAAAGTGATATAGGGATAAGAAATTATTTTGTAAAAAAAAATAACACCTAGAGGTAATCATTAAAGTGAGTATTGTACGAGAAATTTTTTAGTGTGTCTGGAATATGACATAGTACATCAAATGTCATAATACAATTGGATGATCACTCGTATTATCGCACTTGCTAATTTTGCTCAAGAATAAGATGTCACATGTTCCATTTTTTTAAGTTAAAAAATAATAATAATAACTACTTGTCCATTATTTCTGAAACAAAATATAATATAAACATTGTACAAATTAAGGTTATCATTGCTGCTCCAAATTCTATCCAATCTTAGTTTGCCTTTAATTTGTGTTTCATATTTAGTGCTACCCTTGCACAGACATACAAAATTGTATAATTAAACGATAGTACCAAATAGTAATTAACAATTATTTCTGAACACCAATATACCAAAGCCTGACTCTAAAATAAAAATAATTAATTAATCTTAGGCTCTTAATCCCACAAACTAACAAAGCCTTGAGAACTTGATTATTCATACATGAGAAATGCTAAGGGACTCTCTCAAAAGTGGAGATATTTTTTAGTGCACTTAGAATATGAAGCGGAACACTACATGTCATGGACTGGAACACACCACAATAATGATATAATTTGACGGCTAAAATATAAATCCAACGGTCAAAATAATAATGGTACGACTAATTAAGAGTGGAAACAACTTGATCCCAACAAACTCCACAAGCTGGATATGGATCAATTAGGAACTACAATAATGTTTTGCCCTAGACCTTGAACGAGTGTTCAGTTTCTTGAGGTCCTCCAAGTACTTGCAGTACCAGTTGGGTACTATCGTTGAAGCATAGGGATAAATCTCCTTGTATGTGCTTTTAATCGTCCCCACGGTAGCACCAGTTTCTTGCTGGACATCTTCAACAGTTTTGCCATTGGAAGCAAGCTTCACTATCATGTACAGAACCGCTGCCACAACAGATGTAGGGCTTCTCCTTATGTCAAGCTTCGCCAAGTTCTTCAGAGTCTCTTCCACAGCCTTCCGATCCTGAATACGGTTCATGCCAAGATTCGAGCAGTATCGCCGCCATAGGTCCCCAGCGTCTGTAGCTTTGGAAACGAGCTCCAGCTCTTCTTTCAACACTTTTACCATCTTGGTAATTTCTTTCATGGAGGGTCCATTGGCAGCCCCGGCGATTTCCTTTGGTGTTCGCGAACTATGGTTTTCTTGGCAAGAAAGGAACAGGCAAGCGGCCATCATAGCACCAAACCTTCTCCCCCTGCAGATCTTCTTGTCAACGGCCTTCTTATATAGCACTTTGGCATCATATAGTACGCCTTCGGGAAGGCTATGCTTGTCTAGCCGGTAAGCCATGGCTTCGAGGTATTCCGTAGCTTTTGCGAGAGACATTTGAGGGTTCGACGTCGCAACGTTATTCAACAGGTTATTTGGAGGAACAACGCCTTCGGCGTTATCCCTGTTCTTGTTTTGCTTCTTTTCTTGGGAAACACAAGTGGTAAGAATGCCATTATCCAGCAAAGGATCCAAGGATGCACCGACGCGAGCCCGGTCTTCCTTGGGATCCTTATCCGCAAAATTTCGCCACTCGGCCGTGACATCGATGCTGAAGGCTTCAACAATCAAACCACAGTCGGTGCAGATCGTGTCACCCGACCGATGGTCAATCACAACTTGTGTGTATTTCTTGCAATCTGAACAGAACTGTTCATCAGTTTCCATGATTTTCAGAGAGAGAGAGTGAGTGAGGCAGTAACTTTTCTCTTGCAGTACGTAGGCTTTCTTGTTTTAGATTTTTTGGGGTCTCTGATTATATGTTTTATAGTGGTGGGATGGGAAGCTAGTTCTCCTAGTCCGGTAGGGATTTGTTTTGAGTCGAATATTTCCTTACAAAACAGAGCAAATTAAGAAGAGTTGCTAATAAAACTTAGGAGAGCCCTAGCTTCCTGACATTAATAAGACCACCGACTCCTATATGTGACCGACTTAAACCCTATCCCAAAACATTAGTGATGGGAATAAGAAATTATTTTGTGAAAAAAATAACACTTAAGAGGTACTCATTAGTGAGTATTATATGAACTACGATAAGTGGTTCAATAGTAAGGGCGTGGATTGCGACTCCTTGATAAACAAAAAAAATGTGGAAGGTCTCGAGTTTGATGTTCCAAACTGATGAGTCTGCTAGATTGTGACCACAGGCATAGTGAAATTTCCCATAGCGGTGAGTTGCCACAAGTTGTCGCATTTAAAAAAAAATAGAAATAAAAATTAGTGAGTATTATATGGAAATAAAATTTAGTATGTCAGGTATACGATTCGGCACACCAAATGTCATATGATAATTGGATGACCACTCATACTTTTGCACTTGTTGATTTTTCTCAATAATAAGATGTTACATGTTTCTTGTTTTTTAAAGAAAAAAAATTAATAACATGTCCATTATTTTCTAAAACAATTAAATATGTTTTAAAATATTACCGGACTAAACAAAAATGAATACTCACTATAGTGAGTACCCAAGGATTATCATAGTACCAATTAAGCTTATTATTGCTGCTCCAAATCCTATCCAATCTCAGTTTGCCTTTAATTTGTGTTTCATATTTAGCCCTACCCTTGCATAGACATACAAAATTGCATAATTAAACAATAGTATATTAAATGCCAATTAACATTTATTTTTAATACAACAACAGATAAAAGCCTGACTCTAAAACACAAATAATCCAGTCATTCAATACTACGATCTGGTGGTATTTCTTTTCACTTGAAAGTGAGAGATCTTAGGTTTGAATCTCGTGGATGGCGAATTCGATACCAAATTAGGTTGCATATTGTGTGGCAGAACCGAACTCCTCTTCCTTTTAGTATAAAATATCGATGTACTAAAAAAAAACATAAATAATCAATTAATCTTAGGCTCATAATCCCACAAACTAACACAGCCTGAAACTTGATTATTCACACATGAGAAATGCTAAGGAAACTCTCTCAAAAGCATAGAGATTTTTCTTAGAATATGGGATGGAAGTGGAACACCACATGTCATCATACAATTGGAGAGAATGTCTCCAATTGTATCATGACATTTGGTGTTCACGTTTTTTGGGTACATTAAAATTTTTTTTCAAAAGTGAGACTTTCCATAGACTCTCTGTCACCTTACTGTTTAACATTAATTCTCATACCAATATTATAAAATATTATGTAAAAAAATAAGGTGACAAAGAGTTCATAAAAGAGTCTTACTTTTTGAGTCTCTTTTGCATTTCTCTGCATATATATATGCTTTTGTTTTAGTTTAAAAGTGAAATCAAACGCACCGTTTGATCCCAACCAAACGCACCGTTTAATGCCAATGAACCAGTTGACGAACCATGGTTTGAAACAAAAGCGCCAATTGACTTTGATGAGCGCCCCAACTCGGGCTTTTACCGCCGCCGCTGCAGCCACTCGATCCGTCGCCAAAACTAAGCAATTCCATGGCCGCCTCATCACATCAGGCTCAGTCTCGCCGCAAGTCCGCTCAAATCTTGCAAAGTCTTACGCTTTATGCAGTCACGTTCCGTACGCGCGCAAACTGTTCGACGAATTGCCTGACCGGAGCTCATTTTTGTACACTTCGCTGATGCGGATGTATGTATGCAATGGATTACCCTATGAGGCACTAGACGTGTTTGCGCAGATGGTGGCCTTAGGGAAGTGTTGCCCGGATAGATTTACTTATCCGGTTGTGATTAAGGCTTGTGGTGAGTTGTCCTTGATTGATGTTGGTGTTGTCATTCACGGAAGAACGGTAGTTTGTGGGTTCGATTTGGATGGATTTGTTCAGAACTCTTTGGTGGCAATGTATATGAGTTGCGGGGAGAAGGAATCGGCAAAAAGGGTTTTTGATGCAATGCGAGAACGAAGTGTAGTGTCTTGGAATACCATGATCAGTGGGTACTTTCGGAATGGGTGTGCCAAGGAAGCTTTGGGTATTTTTGATTGGATGATGAATGTAGGTGTGGAGCTGGATTGCGCCACTGTGGTTTCTGTGTTGCCGGCTATTGGTTCCTTGAAGGAGATAGTGTTGGGAAGACGAGTTCATGCCTTTGTCGAAGAGAAGGGTTTGGGGAAAATGATAAAGCTGAGAAATGCATTGGTGGATATGTATGTGAAGTGTGGTAGCATGAATGAGGCACGATTAGTTTTCCATAGCATGGGTGAGAGAGACGTGGTGACTTGGACGAGTATGATCAATGGATACATTTTGAATGGTGATGCAAGAAGTGCATTGGCACTTTGTTGGCTGATGCAGCGGGAAGGTGTAAAACCCAATTTCGTAACTATAGCTTCTCTTCTTTCAGCCTGTGGGAGCTTGCATCTATCAAAGCATGGACGGTGCTTGCATGCATGGGCTATTAGGCAAAAGCTCGAATCTGATGTTATGGTGGAGACCGCTTTAATTGACATGTACTCAAAATGCAATTGTGTTCATCGCAGCATTCAAGTGTTTGCAAAGACTTCAAAAAAGAGAACAGTTCCCTGGAATGCAATTATCTCCGGCTGCATTCATAATCGGCTTGGTAGAGCGGCGATTGAACATTTCAAACAGATGCTCATGGAAGCAGTACAACCCAACGAAGCAACCTTGAACAGTCTGCTTCCTGCATATACCATTCTTGTTGATTTGCATCAAGCAATGAATATACATGGTTATGTAGTACAATCTGGGTTTCTTTCAAGTATTGAAGTTGCTACTGGTTTGATTGATTCATATTCGAAGTGTGGAAGTTTAGCGTATGCTCACCAAATTTTTAATGAAATCCCAGAAAAAGAGAGAGATATTATCCTGTGGAGTGTGATAATAGCTGGTTATGGAATGCACGGCCATGGCGAGGTTGCCGTTTCACTTTTCTATCATATGGTTCGGTCTGGGGTGAGACCAAACGATGTCACTTTTACCTCTGTTTTGCATGCTTGCAGCCATGCCGGTTTGGTGGACGAGGGCTTAGGATTGTTCAGATTCATGCTTGAAGACCCAAACGTGAGTCCTCAAACTGATCACTACACGTGCATTGTGGATCTTCTTGGTCGCGCTGGTCGGTTGGCAGAAGCTTATGATCTAATTAGATCAATGCCCTTTCAGCCTAATCATGCCATTTGGGGTGCACTACTCGGTGCCTGTGTGATACATGAGAATGTTGAGCTGGGAGAGTTGGCTGTTAAGTGGCTTTTTGAGCTCGAGCCAGAAAATACAGGAAATTATGTGTTGATGGCCAAAATCTATGCTGCAGTGGGAAGGTGGAAAGATGCAGAAAATATGAGACATATGATGAATGAAATCGGGTTAAGAAAAACACCAGCTCACAGTCTGGTTGAGGTCAGAAATATGTGAAACAACTAGAGCATCTCTTGAAAACAGAAATGGTGAGGACCAAATGAATAGGGAGACACTGTTACCGCTGTGGGGAATGTTCGGGGCCCGAATGATCGGATCGAGATGGTGAGGACCCTGTTTGGGGGGGAGTACGTTGTCCATGGCGTTGAGCATGAATGCGTGAGCAGTTTGAAAAAAAGTGTTGCAAGTCCGACGACGATCGAGTTGGTTAAGTTTCAAAGGGAAATACTTATTGGAGGTTGGAGTCTCGGTCTGAAGAGGAGCAAGGCTGACTGGCTGACTGCTCTTGTAATTACGTAGTTGGATTTGGATGGGGTATGTTTGTAGGACAATGCTAGGAAGACCATTAATTTAAATTATATTTTGAAAATTATTTGACATGTGGATTATTATTAAGTGTTGATTAACGTGTTTATTTTTTATTAGTTATATATCATATGGTTTGCTAGTGTCGTATAAAAAATTGGTCTACCTAGTATAAATGTAGGTGTATATCGACTACATAAATGGATTTCTATCATATGACCTTTGAAACCCATTAAGCCTAATGACAACTAAAAAGTCTTCTCATAAATATATTTAAGGGAAATTTAGCGAAAAGTTCATAGTACTATTCACTTCACATTAAGCCTAATGACAACTAAAAAGTCTTCTCACTTTAACGAAAAATCACATTTTTACACCAAAAAATCAATCTTCATACTATTCACTACACACTTTATTTTATCTTTATCGTTAAAATTCAAAGTTTTCAAATCTTTTTCATTAGTTTTCCTTATATTTAAACTGTTTTTTTTAGCAATTTTTATTCTATTGTACGTACATATAAGATTTTAATGAACTTAATCTTATATAAAATAAAATTGTACCTACTATTATAGCCGTTACTTTTATTATTTATACGTTATTGATTATTTTTGTTGACATTGCTCTCTGTCCATATGAGATGAGCTTTTGGTGGACCCGCATATATTCTTGCTTTAATTTTTATTTAGTGTTTTAGGACTTTGAGAGAGAAGATTAAATTAAGCAATAAAATCTGAGATCTAGCATGTCGGTGTAGCAACTTTTTTTGGCAAGCTAGCTAAACCCTAGTCAATAGCATTGCCAATTTTGGCATGAGAGGAGCATCAATTCCTTTTCTCGTTTTCATGTTCTAGGCACACGACACGAAGTGTAGTCTATTAAAATATAATAGCATCAATTTTCCATTACCTAGTAGAAATAAACTATTAATTTTATTAGGGAATTGTTATTAGCACTTCAAAAATCTCGTTCTACATTTCTTACAAGTGTATTTTTCTTTCTAATTATGGAAAACTTGAAGTGCCAAATAAGATTTTTTGAGTGCTAATAACAATTCCCTTTTATTAAGTTACATCGTGCATATTGTCTTTGTATTTCGTTCGGATTTTCACTTTTCTTGATGTTTGTTTTTTCTTTGTGTTTTCATTATGTTATCACTTTAATTCAACACATTGATTAAGTTTGGTTTTTTCCTAATTTTTTTTTGGACATCTTGTTATTTGAAAAAATCAACTTGAAAAGAAGTCTGACTCATTCGACAATGCTATGCATTGACAAAAGCGAAAATTCAAGTTGAGGAGAATTCCGAACTTATGTATCAGGCGAGCCCAACAAACCCACCAGATTATTAGACATTGGGGATTGACTAATATGACGCAACCGACACGTTACCTTGTCTAGGTCAAGGTCGACACATCATTTGGTCATCCAACAAAAAACGACTCGTCGTCTCAGCTGAACCTTCTAAAATCTATGAGGAAAGTTTGACACGATCGATACGACATGCATATGGACGTGCGTGGTGCAGGGGCTTTGTGGCATCAACGTCGTTAGCGGCGACTTTAGGCGTTTGGACAAATAGAATTGGGAACTTGGACGAAATACAATACAATCATCCCTTATGACATTCAACACGTCTTTTCACAATCTCAAGCAATTGTTAAAATCACACACTGGGGATAAGTGTTTGCATGGTTCATCCAACTCAATTTTAATTCCGAGCTACATACATTGATATTTATAAGAAATTAATTATAATTTGAGTGGTACGTTTACTAGCTCGAGAGCTTAAATAATTGATAGAGTGAAAGCGGGTGGAGAGAGGTTACAATAAGAGGGGGAGTAACCCTTAGAATCAACAAGAGCAGCCATAGATAGAGTAGTATATCCAAACAAATCGAAGAACCTAATGGGAAGAAGCTAATGGAATAAAATTATTACTAGGGGTATGAAAAGAGTAGCCCAATGGTTCGTGAAAATCGTATGAACATTTCTGGGGCTTTGAACTTAGAAATTTCTTGAAAGATTGAGATACATTTCGGTTTCGTTCTATATCTTTCTTTACTTTCTATATTTTGAAAATAAGATTTGATTCATGTGTTTGAAAGTTGTAGGGCATACAATTACAACTAATTCATGTTCGATTATCGTTGGACATTCCTTGTCGGTTCTCACATCATCATTTTTCAGCATATAAAATTAGGCGCAGTAACAAACTTTGGCATGCCAAACTCCACGGTCTCTCTCAAACCCAGCTGGAATTTATCACATTTCTGGCAACAGCTAAAGTTTGCACTTCTTTGCCCTAAAAGAAAACGACATATAGTGCACAAACCACTTACAAAAAGGTTCCATGGCCCACTAAATCACTTTATCCCCTCCATCAATATAATCTCGAAAAATACTATTTACACACCAATTTTGACGTTTTACAGGCTCTTGTTGATTTTTACTCATTAATTTTTTTCAATTCTTTTCAACCCGACAACCAAAAATTAAGAGGGGTGTGTGAGAAGTAAAAATAAATGTGTAGATAACACTGAATAGCACTACCCTACAAATTTTTGTGGATGTTGCATTAGAACTTAATTAGAAGCTTCCATGCTAATTACCAAATTAATGGATTTACTTTACTTCTTCTAATCATCTTTCTATGATTTCTAATCAACTTTACTTGGTGCATGAGTCGTGACAAAGGAGAGAATTCAAATGCGTCATGGATTTGCAGCTACAGTCTGCAGAAAGCACCATTTCTATTAATTTAAGAATTTCTTTTCTTAATTACTCTAATTAGCAAAATTTGGATCGCCTGCCGACAAACGGCAACTCATCCGGCAATTGGATGACAAAAACGACATAATTCCCTTAACAATGCTCCATTTTTATGTTCAAAATTTGAATTTCAATGCGCAAAAATTGTTAGCAAAGCGAAAACGGCATCGAACATTACATGGGTTAAGCCTAATGAAAACTCCAAATTAGAGATCCAAGTCTTTGATTATTTTATGTAATCAACTATGCTTAACAAAATGAAGGTAAGGTGGACGAGACTTCTTTGGATTTAACGTTAAAATCAATCACAAAATGTGAATATATGATCGTTTTCATAATCAGAAATGAAGAATTTCGAATTCATGATATCTTTCGACGTACAAAACCATTGAATTAAGAGCTAGTATGCAAACAAGTCGTGAGAGAAATGGTTTTATGCTCATGCTGGCAACGCAATTGTAACCATGAGGCGCACTCTATAGAATACTGATTGATATTTGCACGACATTCTGCGTTGCGACATTAAATTAAGGATTTGTGTTTGATTTTGATTTTGATATTGATTTTATCTCTTGTTGACAATTCTCAGTATATTAATTTGATTTAATTTGTACTTGGTGTTTGGAAGAACAAACCCTACTATAGGGTCTATTATAGGGTTTGTTTGGAAGTACTTTTAAAAATGATTGAAAGTGTTTTTTGCAAAAATGTTTTTGAAATCAACGTTTAGTAAAAATCCAAGTGGATCCTGAAAAAGTATTTGAAGTCTTTCCTATAATCGTACATAACTGGTGTTTTTTTCATTAAAAAAAAAACACTTTTGAAACTAAAATCAATTTCACTAAAACACTTTTAGTCATTTTAAAATCATTTCTAAACAAACCCATAAATTGTGATTAACTTGACAAGGATATCTCCTCGTTTTGTACCGAGTAGCCTATTATTCACTTTTATTGAATGAACTTTATGCCGTTTCGCATTAAAAAAAATTGATTTAAATTAATGGCTTCAATATCTTAAGACCAAACCCAACTTTGGGCTAAATGCTATTTTTTAGATTTTATTCCCCCCCCCCCAACCCAACCCATGCTAAATGTGTGGGCTAAAAGCTATAAGTCAAACAAAAGCCAAATTCCCCCCAAGATTTAGCATAGAAAATGGTGTGGGCACCACCAATGGGACCCCACCCACATGAGCATGTATTTCAGGATTTATTGAATTCAACGGCTGAGATCGAATATAATCAAATCTAACGGTAAAAAAAAAAAAATCTAACGGTCTAAATTTAAATCTGACGGCTAAAATAATTTTAAAAAAAATTATTTAACTCAAAATTCACCCAAAATTAGTGATTTTTCAATATTTATCGGAATTTAAATATTTTAAGGTTGAAATGTTCATAAAATTAAATTATGATAGTGTACAAATTATTTTTTTTTAAATTACTTTAAAAGAAAAAATTAGCCTAAATTTATTCTTTAGTAATCTCAAGCTAAAAAATTTAGGCTAGAAAGGTTGGAGTAGAAAAACTGTTTTTGGGCTAAAAATTTTAGGTTTTAGCCCAATGATTGGAAATGGTCTAAAGACGCGAGGTACCTTGGTAATTAATTTAGTGTTAATTTGTTTCTTTTTCATCTTTATGTTTGATAAAAAAATTAAAAAAAAGCTATGAAAGTTATCAACCCTCGAATAGTATCGTTTCTTTTTGACAAAAAATAAAATAAATAAATAAATAGTATCGTTTCTTTGACTGTATTACTTGATCTTATTAATGACATACGTAACATGCAATGGATAAATATTTTAGATCCTATCAATAAGTAGGTTTAATAAATGCGATAAATTTTAGTGGGGTTATCTGATCAAGTCATTTGTAAGTCACTTCACACAAAAACTTTAAACTCTTTGGTATTTTAATCATAGCAACTCTATGATGGTCCCGCTTAGTATAACCCATGTTTTCTAAACATGCAACATTACCGAAGTTTTCTCTCCTATAACCCATGTTAGCCTCCAATAAAACTCTCTCATTTGTGTCTCTATCATCCCAAATGTAAGATCATTTTGAGTTACTCACGACAATGCATGATCTCTTTTTATAGGCGGACATTGCTTCTTTTTTGTTAACATGTACAAAAAGAGATACTTGACTCTTCTAACGTACTTAGCATGTACAAAATAGAAACGATTTGCATGTTGAAACATAATCATTATTATGTCCTCAAAATTTTAATTAAGTTTGTTAATGCCCAAGTAATTATCTTAATCAACCAAATAACAACTAAATTTAACCACACCAATTACCCAAACGCCATAAGCACACTAGTGTACATAACCACAATCCTCCCATTTT